CAGGCTACGAAAACATTGAACGACTCTGGAGTCGTTAAGCCTCACTCCAAACACATACGGATATTATAAAATGTAGTGGGAGCATATTAAAAATCAGACTATTGTTGATGAGGTAGTACCGCATCGCAATCGATAAGCTAAACAGTTTTTTTGGATGTCTTTCTGCTCCGACATCTTCTGACCTACTCCGCCACCACCGCCCGTCCATTTATCTAACTCACCACAATATGTTCCTCGGCAAAAACTAGCATCTGCAAATAAGCCGTCCTAAATGCAGTCTTTTTAATGTGATAGCTTCACTGATACTTCCACGATCTACCGAATTATATGGTTCATTCGCCGAACGAGTAGGCTAAAAGTGCAAACCAAACTCATCAGAAAAAAAAATTGTTTTTTTTGGTTCATGGAGCGGTAACAACCAGACTGTCTTCTGTTTCACAGCAACAAATTCCTCTTAGTTTCCATAGGAGAACTGTGTCTTGATTTTTTGTTTCCCTTACACATCCCATGCCCCACCCAGTACTGTTTTCGACTGTTATACCTTCCGTCCCAGTCGAATGCTCCAAGTTCATTTTACGTGTAAACTAGCTCTGTCAAACATCCCGCCCCTAGGCATTTATCGTCCGCAGAGGACATTTCTCAATCTCCGAGGGGTAGGGCCGATGCCAACACACGATATCACCAAGTATCCATAACTCTTCTTAAGTATGTTTGGAGGTCTACGCCTAGGCTCTTGATTCCGGTTATAGACTTATTAAGTGGAACAAAACCCCTCGTTTTACACCCTACTTTTCCATCTAGATGTGGTTTTCTCCCCCTTCATGTTTTTAAATTTGCAATCACCTCATCCACTCATTTATCTTGCCTTCTCATTCTAACTTATCACCCCTTTTTAATATTCTTTTCTTCCATTGTTTCAAGGTTGTTTTTCTGTTGATATGCAATGTATGGCATGGCTATCGGTGTCTCCTACCCCATTTACTCGAGTTATTTTAGGCTTATACAGAGCCAGTGGGCATGTTTAACTTATAAATAGCGGCACTATGGAGACAGTCCCAATAACTTGCGCTCCCAGGATTTACGTCTCACTTTCATTCGTTTTGCGATTTAGATAAAGGTAAGTGCGCTATCGGAGGAAAGTGTCTAATGGTTTCGTTAAAGATGTTTACAGCGGAAATTTTAATGCGTAGAAATACTAGGTGAATAAGGATATGTGCTCACTCACGTCGCCAAGGGGTAAGCTCATTCTGATCACCTGTCACTGATCCGCATCTGCAGCCAGCAGAATAATGTTGGCGTGCACAATTCTGTCAATCAGGTCGATTCCACCAAAGCGTTAAAGGACATTTCATTTATTACTTTACGTTCTCCGAAGAACACCGTATATTATATCAAGCATCTAGTCAGCTACATACAGTTGTCGAGGGACAACGTCTGGTCTTCGTCGTAAGTTTTGTTGAAGGTTTCAACGTAAACAACCAAATTCGCTTGCTCCATTTTAAGGTTGTGCCTAATAGGATGACTTCGAGGGTCTAGGGCCGTCTGATAATGT